CAATTCTTGCACCTGGCCTTCTTTAGAGCGTGGCTGGTTAACTCATCACTTTCCATTTGCTGAAACACAGGCCAACCTGGAGAAGATGTGCCGCACACTGGAAGACCAGCTGAGTGAGATTAAGACCAAGGAAGAAGAGCATCAGCGCATGATCAATGACCTCAATGCTCAAAGAGCTCGTCTGCAGACAGAAGCAGGTGAGACTCATATCTACATGTGCAGATCAGTAATGTCTCAGAGTTATTTCAAAAATTGCTCTCCTTGGCGTACGGTCTGTCCAACACACTTTGTGTCACGTCTACTGAGAAATGCTTGAAATGGGATCATAAGTTTCAGCATGAATTGCAAACTGTCTAGTTTAATATCTCCAAATGTTAGCAATGTCATGATCAATGGGATTAAATCTGTTGTGTATCTGCAAATTTTCTCAGGTGAATATTCACGCCAGGTGGAAGAGAAGGATGCTTTGGTTTCTCAGCTGTCAAGAGGGAAGCAAGCTTTCACTCAACAGATTGAGGAACTGAAGAGGCATTTAGACGAAGAGATAAAGGTGAGAAAGCTTTTTCCTAAATATATGAAATCACTTAATTAACACAATGAGAGGGACAAAAGCAACCACTTAGATAATGGAGTGCAAGTTTTCCTATAGTAGCATTGTTTTTTTTCCCTGTAGCCTATCCATTCATTTTTTGCAAATTCACAGTTCTTTCTCATCACAGGTCTTTCTAAGATCTTCTTATTAAGGACATTTCCTAAGATATTTCCTTTCATTTTCACACTGCTTTTTTTTCCCAAGGCCAAGAATGCCCTAGCCCATGCCCTGCAGTCTGCTCGCCACGACTGTGACTTGCTCCGGGAACAATATGAGGAGGAGCAGGAGGCCAAGGCAGAGCTGCAGCGAGCCATGTCCAAGGCCAACAGTGAAGTGGCCCAGTGGAGAACCAAATACGAGACAGACGCGATTCAGCGCACGGAGGAGCTCGAGGAGGCCAAGTAAGCAGAGAATGTGGAGAACAATGGCAGAGACTATGAATGGAAATTTGAGGACCCCGTTTTACCTTGTCAGGAAGAAGTCAGTGTCCTCCTGTGCATAGGGTCAAAAATACGACAGAAAGCATATACCCATTGGGGAAAAGCAGAAAGGTCCAGAACAGCAGAGAGAGGCCAGCAAGATGCAACTGATGCAGGATTGCTCCAGAATTGAGACATGGAAATAGAGTGGCTGTCTGGGAGAAGTCTTACACTGCTCTGTGAATAGGCATCACACAGTACCAAGGGGCTAAGTTTTCTCTTGTCTAAAACATGCTGCTTCACACTACAGGCTTACTTCTTCTTACCACATTCCAGGAAGAAGCTGGCCCAACGTCTGCAGGATGCAGAGGAACATGTTGAGGCTGTCAATGCCAAATGTGCCTCCCTGGAAAAGACAAAGCAGAGGCTGCAGAATGAAGTGGAGGACCTGATGATTGATGTGGAGAGATCCAATGCTGCCTGTGCTGCTCTGGATAAGAAGCAGAAGAACTTTGACAAGGTCATTTGGCCTCCAGCACCAGCACTCGTGGCCAGAGCATGCCCCTGTGATGGCCCCAGCCCTACTCACAGCCCGTTTCTCTGCAGATCCTGGCAGAATGGAAGCAGAAGTATGAGGAAACGCAGGCTGAGCTGGAGGCCTCCCAGAAGGAGTCGCGCTCTCTCAGCACGGAGCTGTTCAAGATGAAGAATGCCTATGAGGAGTCCTTGGACCACCTGGAGACAATGAAGCGGGAGAACAAGAACTTGCAGCGTAAGTCCCTG